AACATGGATGAATTTTGAGGACATTATGCTAAGTGAGATAAGCAAGTCACACACACAAAAAACACAAGTACTGTGTGATTCCATTTATATGAGGTACTTAGGGTAGTCAAAATCATACAGGCAGAAAACAGAATGATGGTTGCCAGGAAATGGGGGAGGGTATACAGTTATTGTTTAATGGATATAGTTTCAGTTTTACAAAATGAAAAGAGTTATGGAGATGGCTATACAACATTACGAATGTATTTAGTACTACTAAACTGTACACTTAAAAATGGTTATGAGGGTAAATTTTATGCTGTGTGTATTTCACCACAATAAAAAAGAAAGAAAAAGAAACATATTGTGGATGAACCAGATGGTGATTTAAAAAAAAGTCACATAATTTTAGAGTGTTTTTCCATCAATTCTATTGAAAAACAGACCTTTCCTTTTCTTAGTATTTGATAATCTTCCCTTAATACTAAGGGAAGACTAGTAGCAGTTCTGGAATGATTTTGTTTTCCTCCAAAATTTATCATATGTTGAAATCTAATCCTTAATATGAAGGTATTCAGAGGTGGGACCTTTGGGGGGTGATCAGATTACAAGGATGGAGACCTCATGATTGAGATTTGTGCCCTTCTAAGAAGAGGCCACAGAACTAGCTTGCTCTCTTTCCACCATTTGAGGATATGAGAAGTCAGCAGTCTACAACCCAGAAGAGAGGCCTCAGCAGAACCCAACCATGCTGGCACCCTGATCTCAGGCTTCCAGCCTCCAAACTATGAAAAATAATTATCAAAACAAAACAAAACAGGAGGTGGATGGCAAGATGGCCGAATAGGAACAGCTCTGGTCTGCAACTTCCAGCAAGATCAATGCAGAAGGTGGGTGATTTCTGCACTTCCAACTGAGGTATGTGGCTCATCTCACTGAGACTGGTTAGACCATGGATGCACCCCATGGAGGGCGAGCTGAAGCACGGTGGGGCACTGCCTTCCCTGAGAAGCACAAGGGTTTAGTGAACTCTCTCCCCTAACCAAGGGAAGCCATGAAGGACTATGCCTTGAGGGATGGCACATTCCAGCTCAGATACTACACTTTTCCTAGTCTTCACAATCCACAGACCACGAGATTCCCTTGGGTGCCTATACCACCAGAGCCCTGGGTGTCAAGCACAAAACTGGGTGGCCGTTTGGGCAGACACCAAGCTTACTGTAGGAGTTTTTTTTTGTTTTGTTTGTTTGTTTTTAACATACCCCAGTGGTGCCTGGAAAGCTTGCAAGACAGAATCATTCACTCCCCTGAAAAGGGGACTAAAGCCAGGGAGCCTAGAGGTCTAGCTCAGTGGATACCATCCGCAAAAAGCCCAGCAAGCTAAGATACACTGGTTGGAAATTCTCTCTGCCTGCACAGCAGTCTGAAGTTGATTCACAATAGCAAAGACTTGGAACCAACCCAAATGCCGATCAATGATAGACTGGATAAAGGAAATGTGGCACATATACACCATGGAATACTAAGTAGCCATAAAAAAGGATGAGTTCATGTCCTTTGCAGGGACTGAAGCTGGAAACCATCATTCTCAGCACACTAACACAGGAACAGGAAACCAAACACCACATTTTTTCACTCATAAGTGGGAGCTGAAGAATGAGAACACGTGGACTCGGGGAGGGTAACATCACACACTGGGGCCTGTCGGGGGTGGGGAGCTAGTGGAGAGAGAGCATTAGGAGGAATACCTAATGAAGATGACAGGTTGATAGGTTCAGTAAACCACCATGGCACGTGAGAACCTATGTAACAAACCTGCATGTTCCGCACATGTATCCCAGAACTTAAAATATGATAGTAATAAAAAAAATGTCCAATGTTATTGGAAAATGCCAGATAAAGCAAACAAAAATCCATTCTGGCAATCTGTATGTTTTAGGTGAAGTATTTAATCCAGTTATATTTAAGGTTAATTTTGATATGTGAAGCTTTGTTCCTGTTGTACTGTCTTCTAGAATAAATTCATTCTTTTTCTGTCTTTATGTTATCATGGTTTGATGAAATTTTGTCACATTTCCATTTGATTCCATTCTCTTTGTTTTATAAGACCTGTGAGTTTTATGTTTTCATGTGTTTGGGTGATGGTGAGTATCAGTCTTTTGTTTCCATGTTTAAGAGCTCTCTGAGAACTGTCTGTAGGGCCAGTCTAGTGGTGACAAATTCCCTCAAAATTTTCTTGTCTGGGAAAGACTATTTCTCCTTTATCTGTAAGGCTTATTCTGGCAGGATATAAAATCCTTGGCTCCTAGCTGTTTTTTTGTTTTGTTTTGTTGTCTTTTTAGCACAATGGCCAAAATGCCATCTCACACTTTTTGGCCTATAAGGTTTCTTTCTGCTCTTGCTAATTTTAAAAATTCTTTCTTTCACTTGAATTTAAACATTCTGAATATCATATGCCATGTGATGTCCTTTTTGCAGTGTATTTACGTGAAGATCACCAGATCTCCTGCATTTAAATATCTAACTCTTTTGCTAGATTTGGGATATTTTCATCACTTATTTCCTTTAGTAGGATTTCTAAACTTTTTGATCTCTTTTCCCCTTCAAAAATACTGGCAATTCATAAGTTTGGTCATTTTGTGTAGTCTAAGACATCTTGAGGGCTGTTTTCATTCTTTTTTTCCTTATTTTTGTCTGACTGGATTATTTCAAAGGTCTGTCTTCAAGTTTTGAAATTCCTCCTTCTGCTTGATCTAGTCTATTATTGAAGCTTTCAAATGCATTTTGTATTTCCTTCAGTGAATTTTCAGTTCCAGAATTTGTTTGGTTTTTTTAAAGATATCAATCTCCCTGGTAAATTTCTCATTCATTTCTTGAATTGATTTTCATATTTGTATTGGTTTTCAGGTTTCTCTTGTACCTCATTGAGGTTCTTTAAAATCAGTATTTTGCATTTTTTATCTGTTATTTCAAGAAATTATTTCTGATTGGGATCTGTTCCTAGAAAATTGCTGTAGTCCTTTGGTGGTATCATATTTTCTTGTTTTTTCCTGTTTCCTGTTTCCTTCCATTGCATATCTAGTATTGTTTTTTCCAATTTTTAAGAATTGCTTTTGTAGGAGAGAATATTTTTCCTGGAGATAAATGTACGTTGTTGGCTATGTTGGCTTTGATTTTTGGTGCTGTTGTAGTGTGGTCTTCCAGTGACTTTTTCAGCAGTACACAAGGTCAGTGGTATGTGTAATTTCCTCAGTGGCTTAGGGTATGGTGATTCGTTGAAGTTGTGAAGTTAGGTTGGGGATTTGGATGCCAAATGAGTCAGTCTTTGGGCCCCAGAGGTGGCAGCAGCAGGGTGAATATGCCTGGTTTTAGGCCATAGAGCAACTTATGCTGGCTGCAGTGTTAGAAGATCCAGAAAGGCTGATTCTTGGGCCTCCAGGTGAATTGCTTAGAAGCTAGTAATGAGAGCAGTGGTCCAGGTATGTGGAAAAGTTCTCAATCCTCTTGATGTGAGTGATGGCAGTAATGGTGGTGGACCAACCTACTGAGACCCAAGAGGTCCATGTTGGTGTTGCTGGTAGCTGCAATGGGTTGAGTATGCGAGTCCTCAGTTCCATAGCTGCCCAGAGCAGGGCAGTGGGTACTGTCCTAAGTGTCCATTATGGCATTCCTGGAGGTGGCTGTTCTCTACTTTTGTGCTCATGGTGTGCCTGGAGTTTATTGAGACTCTTGGATCTGCGGGTTTACAGTTTTCATTAAATTTGAAAAATATTTAAATATTTATGTGCCCCTTCTCTTTGGAGATTTCAATTGCATATATTCAAGGCCAATTGAAATTGTCTCACAGCTCAGTAATGCTGTTAAATTTTCTAAAATTATTTTTTATCTTTGTGTTTCACTTTGGATAGTTATTACTGCAATGTCTTCAAGTTCACTGATATTTTCTTCTGAAATGTCTAATTTACTATTAAACCCATCCAGTGGGTTTTTTAAACTCAGAAAACATAGTTTTCATCTCTAGAGGTATGATTTCAACTTATTTAAGACTAAGAGACATTCCATGTCTCTTTTTTGAACATATGGAATAGAGGTAAAATAACTATTTAATAGTAACAGCTTGTTAACTTCTAATTCTAACCTTGTATAAATTCTGATACCACTTCAATAAGCTAATTTTATTCACTTCTTTCTTTTCCTGCTGCTTTATATGCCTGGCAACTTTTGATTGGATGGTAGACATATGAATTTTACTTTATCAGATGCTAGTTATTTTTGTATTTCTATGTTCTCAGACATAGGTTATTACTTGGAACCAGTTTCATTTTCTTGCATCTGGCTTTTCAGGTATGTTAGGCAGGACTAGAAAAGTGCTTAGTCTATGGTTAACTATTAACTATCCCCGTTGTTGAGGCAAGACAATACCTTGTGAATAAGGGGTTTTCCAGCCTGGTTAGTGGGAATGGGTACTATACCCAGGCCTATGTGAGTGTCAGGTACCATTCCCTCTAGTCTGGCTGGTCTTTCCCTAGCACTGAGTAGTTTCCTCAAACATATGCACTGATCAATATTCTACTGAATATTTAAGGGGACTCTCCACATATCTCCAGGGTTCCCCTCCTGTACAGCTCTCTGCTCTCTGGTACTCTGTCCGGCAAACTCTAACAGCCTTGGTCTCCTGAGACTCCCAGCTCCATCTTTTCAACCAAAAGAGTCTGTCAGGTTCCACCTGGTGCTTCCTCCCTATGCAGTGCTTTGAACTCTCTTAAGGTGGTCAGCGGTGGCAGTCACAGAACTCACCTCATTTGCTTCATGTTTTTTTTGGATCATTTTCCTTTGCACCTAATACTCACTGTCATAAGAACCTTCGTTTTCTATATTTTGTTTTTTTAGAGGGTTGGTTCAGCTAAAAGAGTAAACCCCATCCCTGTTACTTCATCTTGGCCAGAAAATGTACTCATCTAGTTTTTGAGTATGAATATACATATAATATAAAGCCATTTAGGATAAGAATGACTCCTTACCTTATTAACGTATCATCATCCACAATGACTAACCATGCTGTTCTGTCCTGGCTACGATTCAGAAATCTTTCCAAAATGGCAAATGTCTTTCCACAATGACCTGGAAAAGTCAAGAAGAAAACTTGCAATGTATTATTTTCTACAATATATATAGAACTCATTAATTTCTTTTTAGTTTTCAGGTGTTGTAAGAGCTTACATGTCAACATGCACCTTAAAAGTTCAAAAATTTAAAAAATAGCCTTCTCTAATTTTCATAGGCACATTGAACCAGTATGAACTTTAGAGATAATCAAATCCAAGCCGTTCATTTCACATGTGAGGAAATGGAGACCTAGAGAGATTAGTGGAATTACACAGTCAAACAGATACTTTGAGACAGAGATGGAATTAGTATCTTCAGTCCAAGCAAGAAAGTTTTAAGACTCACAGCAATGACAGATGCCCACCATCTTTTCTCAGATATGCTTATTCTGAAGGAGCTGTTAGAAGCCCAAGCAACACTGCCACAGGGAAGCCACAGTACAAAGGTGGAAGCTTATGCCTTCATTTATTTATTTTGTAAATATTTACTACCACTAAGTTTCTAGCATGCCAGTTACTGTGGCAGGTACTAAGATATGCACTAATGATATAGTGTTGAGTAAGACAGAGTAACTGTCCTTCAGACACCAACAGATAAATTACAATGCTTTACGGGACCAAAACTTTGCTAGTACCAAAATAAAATACTCGGGAAGAGTAGTCAAACTGATAAACAGGAATATGTCCCTCATTTTAATCAAGTATTTGGTGACACAGTAGAGAACAAATTAATATTAACTTATATTAATGACTTTAAACCACTCAATTTAACCTTTATTTTCTTTACTCTTGATCTCTTTATTCATTTTTAACCTTTACAATATGTATGTTTGAAAGCCATCTCAAATTCCTTTTAGAATAAATATAAATATAGACAATAATAAGGTCAGACTAGAAATGAAGAAATCAAATAAGGAATGCATAAGTATACACATGATTATTAAACCCGACCTAAAATAGTTTTTTCAAATCAAACAGCAACAGACAGACTCAGTAACACACTTAACCTTGTAGGAAGAATCGGTAATTACAGAAATGGCATATATCTGATTCTGCATTGTACTATATTAATGAAGAAATTATGGATGACACATAAAGTAATCAAGATACATTACCGTACAGAACAAGAAAATCAGTTTGCTACTCCTATTTTACTCGTAGGACATGGGGAACAAAAACACTCAAGAAAAAAGGGTGGCAAGAATACTGAATAAAACTTTAGACGAATAAAGAGTATCTGAAGATGAGGTGGCCAAATTTATACTTCCATTTTTTGAAATAATTTTTTTAAATGTTTATAGATTTAAGGGGTATAAGTGCAGTTTTTTAAGATGGAGATATTGCACAGTGGTGAAGTCTGGGCTTTTGGTGAAGCCATCACTCAAAGAGTGTCTATCGTACCCAGTGGGTAATTTCTCATCCTTCATCTTCTTCTGCTCTCCCACCTTTTTGAGTCTCCAATGTCTACCATTCCACTCTATAAGTCCTAAAAAGTATTTTTAATCAGAAACCCTGTAATTTGAAGAGAAAAGCAGGTTTATTTCCAACAATATACTAATTAAAATCTTAACATATAGAACAGAGTTTATTGTACATATAACTGGTGTAGAATGTGGTTAGGCGGTACTCACAGGTACTATAACATGTGAACTAGACTGTAACACTGACAAGGAGAGAAGCTTTGTGTGCAAATACAATAAATTAACTTTAAACACCCCATTATGGCCACAAAGAATTATGAAGTTATGAAAAATCTATTGTTAAACTCTATTGTAACCATCATGTGCTCAATTATAGGATATAACCTACTAAAAACTTGCAACACTTTGTACTATAAAGCCCTCAGTTTCAAAGAATCAATCTGTATCTGTGAGGAAAGAAGGAAAAAACTAATATGAGGCAAAAATTATAGCATTTATAAAATATTTCACTTTTATCCTAACCTAATTTACTATATTTACAGAATGGGGATGTTTAATAAGGACAGTAGCAGGAATTATGGACTCACCTCTATCTGTGTTAGGAATTCCCAAATCCACAGTAGGGATGGAACTTTCTGCATAGTCACTGTAGTATTCAATAAGACTTGCCTGGCTCTCCCAAGTCTGTTTAACAATAGGTACTGAAAAAATTAAAGAAGTGACAATCACTGGCACAGTTACATAGGGAAGCTCGAAAACTCAAAACAGCAGTATAATCACCTACAAGGGAAGAGAAACATTACTTGTCATTCTTCAGGTGTTCCAAGAGTTGCTTGCTCCCAACCCTTAGAAATGCCAACGTTGATGACTAAAACCCTCTTTTTGAACCAGGTTTCCCTAGAGTACAGCATTTCTCATTCCTGTTATGAACACACTTACTTCCATATAATGATAAATTTTCTGGTTTGATTATGCTATTGTGTTTACATTAATGTTAACTAATTTTTCTCTTACCATGGAACACAGTGAGAGAAAACCCATCCCTCTTACCATGGAGCATGGGAAGACCTTTGCAAACTATGCACCTTCCTGCCCAAAGATTCTAACAGAACTACCCAACCCTAGAAAGGACATGACCTTGCCAAATGAGAATCACTGCCTACAATAACTGAAGTTATAACGTTGTACTTTTGAAAAATGTGGAAGAAATAAGATTCAAAACTACTGCAGACTTTAAAACTCTATTATTAGCAGCTACATTGCTTTAACACAATAAACACAACAGAAAGCTGTCCTGCTTTTCTGTATTTTCGGTTTGGATGCTCAAAGATAGCTCTGTCTGCATGCCTGACATACAGACTTACCACTACTTGCTATTAATTCACCTGATCAAGTAATTATTTTCTTCTCTACTTAAGAAACAAATTACTGTCTATGCATCTCTGAATTTTAAAAAGTGGTTCCTTGTTTTTTCAATGGAAAAAAAAATTTTAATTTTATATCCTGTTAAGAATCAAAACTCTGTTGAACCAAATCTTCACTTAACTTTTGAGAAACTTTATCAGATCATGTATCTTTCCCCTATTCCCAACTGAAATCAAAATATATGCAAAAACTCACATTCCAATGTAAAATTTAAGTGTTTAGTAAGTAAGCAAATTCTGAGTCCAGCGCAGACAGCCCTTATATAGAAAATTCAAAAGTGCACCATTTTATAATCTCTCATTCATTGGCTTAAAGAAAAAAAAAAAAAGCTGAGTTCTGCACATCTGCAAAATTATCAAATTGCCAGTTAATTATTATTTTTATATATTAAAATATAATTTTTCTGCAGCCATGGAAAAGCAGACAGTTCTAAAAGTTTCTACATGTGAAAATGGTCAAAGATTAAATAGATAGGGCTATGGGGGGGAACAAGAAAAAGAAAAAGGAGATTTAAAAAAATTTCACTCTGTTTTACTTCCAAATTTCAACACAACAAAAATGTTAATCCTGGGACTGCTGTGGCAGTTTGCTTTGCATGTAATAAGCAAGAGAACTTACTCTACAAAGGGCTCCCTGCAGTCTGCAGCCACTGAAAGTTCACACTGTTGGGGAAAATATCCTCCGATGCATAATGCTGGAAGAAGCTGTGAGGAAAGGTGAAGAACTTTCCTCAGTCCCCAGCAGAGGTCCCGCAGGCTGTACAAATTCTGCTTGCGGATTTCCTCAGCCTTTAGGCCTTCAGTCCTCTTTGCTCTACCAGGTTTATTAAATGACACAGGTGTTTCTTGTCGATTAACTGATTTAAATAAAATTAAAATCAGATTCAAGGGAGAGTTAGCGATTTTTCTTTCTCTTTTACTTTGAAACAGGTAAAATAGGAATTACACTAAAGAATTGTTGTGTGTATGATTTATTTCCCAACACCTAGCATAGTGCCTAGGCCATAGCAGGTGCTCAAAAAATAGCTGAATGAGGACTGAATTTTGTAGGCATTTCAATAAAAGGCCTAGGATTATTTGTGGAAACTAGTTAAAGCGTTTTATTCATAAAGGCAATTCAGCCTTTGATTAATCATTTTAAAATAAGCCAAGTATTTAAATATGCTAAGATATTGTGATTCTATACTACCTAAAGCACTCAACAGTTTGAACATCTCTCTCCTTGTCAATATAACCCCCCATGATTCTGTCACCTCTTAGATGTAAAGGATTTAAAGTCTTCTATAATAACAGCTTAAGGCTTTATTTTCAACCAGGGTTGATTCTAAATTAGTTAAATTTTTAAAGTACTGGTTTATTTATTAGCATCATTTAAATTATAAAATGAATTCATTATATTATTTACAAAATATTTTATGTTGTATTGAGGCACTGTATTCCTAAAGATATTAAACTTTGAGAAAATACCTCAGTAAGTTACCTGATATATTATCTCCTTTTCAACAGAGAAGCATACTTCCTATCACATAATAGTGAATGCCTCTTCCAAGAAAGTTTGTCACAAGATAACTTAAATTTGGAGCAAAGTAAAAATTTTACTATAAAAATGCCAGCTGCACAGATGGCATAAATCTTCCTTAGAGCTTTCTAGACTCTAAGCAGAAGATGTGTCTCACTATGAGGAGAAAACATGCATTTTTACCCCCGGGGAAGTGACTTGGAAAAGTGTCTCAGATTATAAATGAAAAGGAACTTGCTGCTTGAACATTTTATTAAAACGACCACACCATCAAATGTGAATAGTTTTTATTTTAAGGACTCCACTATATTCAGTTTGCAGATGGCCCTTTTGTCTCAGCATGCAAGTCAGTAGCCAGAAAATAAGACCCTGTTTGCATTTCTCTCCTCAGGAGCAGGTTAGGGAGACACACACAAGTGTGACCTGATTCAACATTTTAAAGATTGAGATGTACCCAAGACTGAAAAGCATCCCTCCTGGATGAGCTAACACAACACTGTAGGGCAATCTGGAACATCAGCTATTCAACAGCCTGGGAAAGGCAACACCTGACTCCTCTCCGCTCTTCAGTCATTGATCTGATAATCACTCATTTAATTAGAGTCTGGCCTTCTATCTGGCTGTGTTTTAATTCAAGCCCCGCCTTTTAAGTAAGCAGATTGTACCACAGTACAGGTAAACCTCTTTAGTCAAAGAGAACACCAGCCACCAAACACCCCTCTCAATCAGTTTGTTTAGATTTGCCTCTAGACAAGATCACAGCAGTAAAGACAGTAAACAGGTTTTTTTTTGTTTTTGTTTTTGTTTTTGTTTTTGTTTTTAATCTAAAAGGAATATGGTGCTAATTTTGAAGAGCTTAGGAAGCTGTGAAAAGGAACTAACGGCTGAGGAAACAGAAATTTAACCTCTTTAATTAGAGGAAAACTGCAGAAGAGCATCCCACAACCCACCGTTTGATGAACAAAACCAGCGGCTGCCACAAGGTACATGAGACATGCACACAAACTGCATGGCAGAATGATGCAAAGAAAATTCTTAAGGTTTTCTGACAGCTCACGTCACACAGTGGGAAACAGAACCCAAGAGTAAGCAATCAAGCTGAATATTAAAACACCAGAGATCTTTTCCTTGCTTAAATATAATTTTACATGCTATGCTCAATTCATCACCTTATATAACAGTTCTCAAGTGTCTTTAAAACCCTACTAAATGCTCGCCTCTCAGAGAGAATTGCTGCTTTTTCAATGATGTCAATATGCATTACTTCCTTGAATCAAGAGACAGAATATATTTTTGCTTATTGTGTTCTAAGAATGCTGTATTTCACTTAAATGAGAATCCAGACAAAAGCAATTACATAAATGTGTCAAGCAAACAAAGTACAATATTTAAATTTGTTTTTTCATTTTGAAACTTGGTTTTATTATCAATTCTTCCATGAGAGCATAAAAAATAAATGCCACCTATATATTCCCTTTCTGTGACTAGGGCCTTGAACAGAACATGTTGCGTCTCTCCTCCTCATCCTGGGAGGTGATCAACACTATAATGAACCAGGAGTGGGGGCCATCGCCACTGAGTGCCAGAGAACACTGTGCCCACAATTAACCGTACAGCCCACTCTCAACTTGGCAAAGATAAATACAGTTTCTTACCTAGATTTTTTTCCTTCATCACTTGGCCTTTGTTACTGAAGTATTTCTACCACAGAGTGCACAGGGAAAGGAAAATATGGAAAAAACAAAAACACCCCAGACAATGTATTTGCTTGACTGTAGTAGTGATATGCTTAGACAGGAGTGGCAGTCTACATTCTCAGCTCGACTTGTATTTTAGATCCTGGTGGGTTTCAATTCCTTGCCATCCCCATTGCTACTAAAAATGGAAAGCCTAATTTCGCAGCCAAGTCAAAACTGACCTTGAGCATTGCGGGACATCAACATGAGTATCAAAGACTATTCATCAAGCACTGAGTTTGTAATATATACAAGAAGATTACAGTATAGCTGTGCTGTGGTAGAAAAAAACATGGGATTTAGGAGCCAGAAAACCGAAGTCCTTGGCTCTGCTACTCAACAGGATACAAGAAACTGGGCCAGTTGTGTATCATTCCACACTCAGCTTTTTCTACAAGTGAATAACAGTAATTATCATATCACAAGGAAGTGTCAACATGAAATTAGATGACAGAACATATGTGAAAAACATACCAGAAAATGTATAAAAGATGAGCAGTTAGAAGCAGTGTGGTGTTGTCCTTGTAAGTGATGGAACTAGATAACTCTTCAGGCCAACTGATGGTTGGACTAGGCTTCTAACACAAGGAACAGAGCCCAGTGGCCTGGCAGGTTACACCTCCGTCATGCAAAATGGACTTCAAAGTCACTGAAATCCTGTTGCCTTAGACTATCTTTTCAAACAAACCTATCCAAGTTGAAAAATGGCTTACCACAGAAACCCAAATATAAATACTTCATGATACATTTTAGGCCTCATACTTCAATGATCCCACATTCAAATTAACAGCAGTACATCAATGCATCTGGCTTTGGGAGGTTTGTTTCTAATGCTCCTAACGGGCTTTTAAGATTTTGTAATTTTTAAGGACTTTTGACTCAAAATTCAAACTGAAAGAAATTTCATGAATATCTAAAAAGATTATCTCAAACTTACGCAAAATAAGAAAGCAGTAAACTAGATTATTCAAAATTACTAAATCAAAATTAACCAACTTTTTTTTCATTTCTGTAGAATACAAAAAGTACAACAGGAGTGTCCCTAATTTTAGTGATTCACTGTGACTTGAAAAATGTGTTTCAAAGAAAAAATACCAGCAACACCATCCTTAACATTAATATTGGGAAAACAATCGCTACTCCAAGCATAGCTTCAAGAACAATTAAATAAACTCAAACAGTTCCTGCTTGCTGCAAAAGACATAAAACAAAAAGCAGTATAGTTCATTTCTCCAATACCTTTTTAAAGAAAGTATCTGTCAAAATCATGCCACCAAACCCTTCCACATTATGAAAAAAGTTAAAGGATATTAAAGTTAAATTTATGATAAATAAAAATTTTATTTTAACTGCTATACTGATTCTTCATAGTAGCTTAAGACTCCTTATATAACAAATATACATATTCATTTAGGCTGATTTAATAGGATTTGGCATTTAATGTGGCTATTTTAGGCAAATGTGAAGGTTTATACTTAATGTACTTTTATGATCTAATTGATCATAGCTGGATTTTAATTGATGTTAATGTCTTAGACAATACTTTAATCCCAAACTATAATATTTTATTTGGAAAACATCTTCTCCTTTAAAATATAATTTGTATGTACTATATTATCCCATAAAATATATAAATGAACTTTCCCAGTAGTTCCAATCCCATGAAAATGACAGTTGGTTTAGAAATCTCTCCTACATAAATATCACATCCTTGGTGAAATCGACAGTCTTTTCAAGGGAAAAAAATTAAAATCTACACTAAAATTAGAATATGCAAAAGACTGCCTAATTTTCAACTTCAGAAAAGTGTTGCTTGAAATAAGGTGCAAAAAGAGAGAAATTATGTCTATTTATATTTAGGATGGGCTTTTTTTTTTTTTTCACATTATCACCACAACTTAGCAGAATTCTGTAATGACATCAAAAACCTGAATAAAAACAACATTAATCTACATGCCAGGATTTCCTTAAGAAGAGATTCACTGTACAGCAGCTTTTTCTTCTTCTCCAATATTATCTACTCATGAGCAAATACATCTCTTTATTAAGTTCCAAAGTATGCATTTGAAATAAATTGAAAAAGAAGAAAAAGTCTTCAAGAGAGTATTCTTTGTTGGCATGCTGTTACCTTGATATCCCCTCTGACATTCTTCATCCAGTTTAGAGACTACACATGGACCTAGTACGTTGTTTGACAAAATAGATCATTTTTCACACAGTCTCCAATACTGTCACACTGAGCTTTTCCATTTCCAGTTTAAAATACTGCTATAAACAGTGTTGGCTATGACCACTCATGTTTCAATGCAAAATTTTCCTTCCTAATTGATCTTGGTGACCGAAATGGTGCAGTGAGGAATACTGATTAATAAGTGCCTTCACTTCAACATCCTAATTGTCATTATCCCTTTCCTGAATTTATACTAAAAAATTCATTTGTACTTTTTTTAAAAAGGTAGTTTGAATTTTAAACATTGAATAAAATGAATAACCCAAAACGTACTTCTGTCACCATGAAATTTCTTGCATGTTTTTACTGCAACAAAAATATCCTTCTTCTTCACTGGCTTTCCCTAAAAAAAAAATAAGAAGAAAAAATATATGCATATATGAGTCAGCGTTATCTTAACTTCACACCCACGTTAGATCTCACATGCTCTAGAGTTCAAATTAACCAATGTCAAGGATATCAAACGTATTTCCAGGATAAAGTTTTAGGGTAGAAACGGAACCACAGGTCAGCTGACAACACAGCCTTTCTGTCTGCCAGCCCTGGACCTGCCTGCTCCGCCATGCAGAGAATGTGCATCCCCTCAACAAGTTTCTTAAGCTCTCAGAATTTCAGTCTGCTTGTTTAGAAAAAGGAAATAATAACCACCGCAAGGCTGCTATTATTATTATAATTTATTAAGAACACAGAAAATGACCAATAAATTTTAGTTACCTCTCCTTTCCTTTCTCCAGATGGTGGAGATTTTGACAAAAAGCGAGAAAGAGAGGGATTTTTTAGTGTAATATAAGAGGAGATGTCCTTTTCTGGGCCTGGCCTGACTTTAATGTTGAAAAGATTTTTAAGGCCTCTTTACTGGCTACCTAAGCACTAGGCTAAGGATGTTTGCTCCTCTGCCAAAGGTAGGATTCCTTCAAACACCTGGTGGAGGTGAGGTGGGGGTCGTCCTAGAGCCCAGGCTGATCACACAGATGAAAGGGGGCAAAAAGAGGGATTTGTCAACAAGGCACACCCAATCCCTTTATGACCCCTTCATTACCTGTCTTAGGCCTGCTAAGTCATATTTCAATCATGACTCCTACATCATTTGGGGCTGGTGTATAGTGACATCTAACCACAGCTTTGTCGTGTCACTTAAAGCACTAGGAGAGCACTGAAAAAGCAAGCAAGCATTCTGCCTAGAAAGACTGGTCTCCCACTCTGGAACTGCAAACACATTACAGATTCTCTCCCAACACTGCACTGTGTTTTGGGGGTGTGGGTGTGTGTTTGTGTGTGTGTGTGTGTGTGTTAAAATGGCACACACAGACTTCTGTGTGACTGACATGAGAATGATGACACCATCTGAGGTTGGTGAACATATTTTCCATTATGAGAAGAGCTGTTAACACCTACTGAGTGTCAGGGTCTCCAGGCTTATACTAGGGCTGCACCTTGGGTCTGCCAAAACAAGTGGGTTCATTCTGAAAGTTCTCAATGGCTGGCAGAGCCACATCCTGAGAGAGTACATAAAGGGTCTGGGCTTGTGGAGAAGGCTTGCTTTGAGTGTCACAGAAAGCACTGGAAATTGCACTTCTAGGAAATGGAATAGAAATTCCAATCAATGCATCCTACATCATTAACAAAAGAAATGACTCTGGGCACACTAGCCCTAAAGCACCATGGTGGGCAGTCCCTCACAAAGGCTCTGGAGTATAGGGGAGCCCATCAGAACCCTCGCTTACCTCCCTACTAGCTGTGTAGCCATAAGCAAGCACTTGGCTTCTCTGTGCCTCTCTGTTCTCATTTGTAAGATGGAGTTACAATAGTACTTACCTTGTAGGAGTGTTATTACTAGAGACAAGATATATAGTTCATACCTGACACAGAGAAAATGTTGATTTTATTTTCAGTATGTAACATGCTAGTGCAGCACTATTCACAACAGCAAAGACATGGAATCAACCTAGATGCCCATTAATGGTGGATTGAATAAAGAAAATGTGGTACAGATATACCAAGGAATACTATGCCGCCATAAAAAAGAATGAAAGCATGTACTTTGCAGCAACATGGATGCAGCTGGGCGCCATTATCCAATGTGAATTATTGCAGAAACACAAAACCAAATACTGTATGTTCTCACTTACAAGTGAGAGCTAAATACTGGGTATGCACAAACATAAAAATAGGAACAACAGATACTGGGGACTCTAAAAAAGGGGAGGAAGGAAGAAAATCAAGGTTTGAAAAACTTCCTATTGGGTACCATGTTCACTATTTGGGTGACAGAATCAATAGAAGCCCAAACCTTAGCATCATGCAATATACCCTTATAACAAAACTTGGACAGGTATGCCCTGAATCTAAAATTTATTTTAAAGTGCTAGGATGACATAATGCACAACATCTAAATTCTTCCTTGGATATGCAAAGTTTTTCTTGTGTTACTTACACAAAGTGGTAGAAAAGAATGGAATGTGGTAGCACAGTAGGAGTCCACACCATTGGTACAAAACTCGGGCACTGGAGTCAGGGGAGGTCCTCCGCCTTTGTCCCAGATGTAGAGGGCAATCTGCCACAAGACAGGAGACAGGCAGTGATGAAAGAACTCAGTCAATACAAGTGTAAGAAGGGACAAAATATCTCAAGGGAACGCAGAACACATCTTCCATAGAGAGTAGGTTGAACCATATCAATTTGTCAATATCCAACAGGACTTTTTAAACTTAAAAAACAGGAATTCCATGGGAATAAATCTAATCTATTATCAACAATAATAATACCAACAATAATGTTATTACTAACAATAAGAAACTAACTATGAATCAATATTCTGACCTCTAAAAAATTCCAAAGTAAGCGGTTTTAGGGAAGAACACATTCTACAACATCATCACAGAGAGAGATTTCAGATATTATTATTATTGTCTCCAGTTTCCTACAGTATGGTAATTACATACCCCAAACTTGCTTAAAACTCCAAAAACATTGGGTAAAATGCCCTTCAATATTTAAATGTATTGCTAAGTTGGCACAAAAGTGTAGAACCTGTGAGAACAAAAATGGGAATGTGAGATCCTGGGGGGAAAGAAGCACCAAGCGGTTTTCCCTAGTAGGTATCAGCTGACCTCTGGCAACGCTTGAGTTCCTGACAGGAGTGAAGAGACTGAAGTCTATGACCCGCCCAAGGTGGGGTGTGGCTAACAGCAAACCCCTACATAAAGCTCGGACGATGGGTCTAAACAGATGGAAAAGAATAATTTCTAAATCTCCTCTTAGATTTTGTAACCGAAAGCCAGGCCTCCCTAATTTGTGCCACCTATGAGGTTCCAAAACACCTCAAACTGACAAATTATCCCAAGTCAATATAACCCACTAGCAACAGGCAGAAACTAATGTAAATCCTTACTAAGGAACCACAACCTTAATATAAGCCTCAGAGGATTCTTTCAAAGGAACAAGGATGCTCACAGAACAATTGCTCAGAGAAAAAAAATCACTCACAAGAAAGAAGATAATGAATGAGAGCCAGCTGACATAATTTAACCAGACTCAAAAGACTTCAGATATCAGAATTATCAAACCAATTATAAAATTACTGTGCTTAATATATTTTTACAAAGAAAAAAAATTTTAAAACATGAGAAAAAATCTTTTAAAAAGATTACACAAAACAAGCACATTTGAAAAATAATTAAATAAAACTTCTAGAAATAAAAAATAAAGTGAAAATTTAACAGGATTAATAGCATATTAGACAGTGATGAATAAAAAATTAAGAAACTAAAGAATGAAGCCCCCAAAGTTATCTATAAGGCAGCATAGCAAGAAATAGAGATGAAAAATGTAAAAGAGAAGTTCATACCTCTAGCATCCGTCTAAAGTTCTGGGAGAAGGTAAAAGAGAGAATAGGGATGAGAAAAGAGTTGAGAAAACAATGGCTGAAATTTTTCAAAAATTGCTTAATAAGCCTACGAGAGAAAGGCCCAATAAACCCTAAACAGGATTAGGAAAAAAAAAGAGTCTATATCCAGACATATTATAGTGAAACCGCAGAACACCAAAGACAAAGAAGCTTAAAAAGAGCCAGAAAAATGACAAATTATCTACAAAGGCACCACATTAGACTAAGGACTGATTTCTCTGCTTAATAACAGAAACCACAATATAGTGAAATCATACCATTGTGATGACAGAAAATGACTAGCAACCTAGAATCGTCTACATGATGTAAGTATGCTTCAAAAACTAGGTTGTCCTATAATCCCAGCACTTTGGGAAGCCGAGGCGAGCAGATCAGGAGGTCAAGAGATTGAGACCATTCTGGCCAACATGGTGAAACCCCATCTCTACTAAAAAATACAAAAATTAGCTGGGCGTGGTGGCACGTGCCTGTAGTTCCAGCTACTTGGGAGGCTGAGGCAGGAGAATTGCTAGGACCTGGGAGGCGGAGGTTGCAGTGAGCTGAGATTACGCCACTGTACTCCAGCCTGGTGCCTGGTGACAAAGCGAGACTCTGTCTCAAAAAAAAAAAAAAAGGTTGAAATAAATATTGTTAAAGAAAAAATATTGAGAGAATTTACCACCTCACTAAAAGAAATTCTAAAGGATACACCTCAGGAAGAATAATACGATGCAATTGGAAAGCCTAAGAAGCAAGATGGAATGATGAGCAGAAACAATGGCAAATGTATGATGAGTTAATACAAATGTTAACTGCATAAAGTAATGATATCTAAGTTTCCAGAGTAAAAAGAAAAAGGGATAAAAATATTAAACAACAATTGCATGTAAGTTGGGAGTGGAATAATCAGAGTTACATTATCCTAAGGACCTCACATTTTCTGGCTATTAATAAACCATTGATAGGTTAAGAATGCATGTTAACATATTTAAAATAATCAGTAAAGTACAGACAGACAACTTCCAAAACAGCAGAAAAAGAAAAACATGAACTAATAAATAAATGAGTAAATAAAGAAGACAAGGAAGTTTAAAAAAGAAAAATAGAAAATAAGGAGAGTGGTACAAAATAAAGTGATAGAAATCAAATATATCAGTAACTACAATCAACATAAAGGTAAATTTGCTCTCAGGTTTAAGGATAAAGATTTTCACAATGGAGGGGGTGGGGAAGGCATGTCCTTTTTAAAAGAGACACATCTTAAGATAAGGACACAAAAGGGTTGAAAGAAAAAGATAAAAAATGATTATGAGGCAAGCAACCAAAAAATGCTTACGTAGAAATATTCATATAAACAAAATAAACATTAAGACAAAGAGTATTACTAAAGACAGACAAATTCACTAAGAGGATGCAACAATTCTAAGTTCCTATGCAGCTAATTAACATAACCCTAGAGTATAAAAAGCAAGAGTTGGCAGTTCCATAAAAGAACTCCACCATTATTATGGAAGATTTCTATATTCCTCCCTTAGTAGATGATAAGCAGACAAAACAAATGTAGAATGAAGGACTGAAGCAATGCAGTAAGGAAGAAAATAAGATCTCTAAAAAGCATCATTAATACCTTCTTCAATCTAACAGATATGAAAACGGAACATGAGCTAGGCCATAAAGTAAGCCAAAAAGTGTTTCAAATGACTATTTTATAGACTACAATAATACTGTTAGAAATCAATTAACAAGAACACAAGCACACACACAAATATCCTGGGTCACGATGAAAACTTATTTTTTTAAGTGGGTCATAGTAAAAAAAAAAAAGTTTAAAAGCCTCTGCCTTCGAGCAGCTTTTGAAGATGATCATCATAACACACATCAAAATTATTCACAGAAGCAATGGTTGTAATAGCAAAAAACCAGTAGCCACCTAGAAGCCCATTAACAAGACATAAATAAATAATTATGGTCATATGGGAGACTAGTACAGAATGTAAAAACAAGTTAATTAGAGCTGCATGCATCAACATGGATGAGTCTCAAATTAGAACAGTATTTGTGACAGAGGTGGGAGACAGCCAAATGCCTAGGCAAATAGGGAAGGATCCCTGGAGAATCTCTGATCTGCCCCACAAGTGTTTATTTACACCATATGTTTTGTGTGGATAAGGGAACCTCCACAGTAGGCTTGCCTGGGCATGCCCACAGCAGACCGGAGGCCCAAACGCACTGGGGGATTGGGGTAGAGCCACCAGGAATTTGCGCCTTATGGAGGGGAGGAGAGTGGCCTCTTAAACTCATGTGTGGGGCCCCCAGATTTCATTTTATGAGATGAAAACCTGCTGGCAGGACCCCCTCTCTTTGCTAAGAGCTTTCCTTTCACTTAAACAAATTCCACCCTCCTCATCCTTCAGTCTGTGTGCCTAATTCTTCCTGGTCGTAAGACAAGATTCCAGATCAGCTGAACTAAGGAGCAAAAACATCCTGCATCATTTGTATACAGTTTTGTTTATATGAAGCCCAAAAGGATGCAAAATTACATGTTATTCAGAAACACATTCATACATAATAAAATACGAAGAAAAGGAAGAGGGAGAGAATTTCAAGAGAGTTTAGTTTGGGGAGATGGAAGGAGACCTCTCCTGGAGAAGCACATAGGTAGCTTCAAGGTAACTGGTAGTGGTCTCCTTCTTAAACCAGGCAAGCTACTTAAGTATTCTGTTCATTAATCTTTATACCCTTCATATATGTTAGAAATATTATTTTGTATATATTCAACATTTAGCAGATTTCCAAACCTAAGTATCTATACTAGAGCTGACTTTTCTTTAAACCTATCTAGGCAGAACTTGTTTTTCAACAAGTCATTTTTTTCATCTTTGTGGAAGAGAAGAATTATGTTTATTTACCCTCAAATATTCTGTATTGTCATTTAAAGACACCTGAGAAGTTAGAAAGTCTTGTGTGTGCCTTCTTGTCCCTGGAAGGACATTAGCACTGCTGGACTGAATTACATGCCAAGATTTACCTTCATGTCCCAACATACAGATTCCTGCAGAGAATGAGAGGCAAGACTGTTTTATACAGTCAGGCATGCCCACAAATGAAATTCAAAAAGGGCATTCTTAATGATGATTTGAGAATGATTAATGATGGGACACCTGCCACCTGTCTTCAGGATAACTGGTTACAGATGTCCACTAAATGTGAAGAAACCAGGAGGGTTAGGGCTCTAGGCTGCCTGCTTGGGACCAATTGGCTCAATTCTGCTCCAGAGGGCCAACCACAGACACACAACAAAGTCTTATGTCTTAGTCTGTTCAGGCTGCTACAATAAAATACCATAGACTGAGTGGAATCTAAATAACAAATTTATTTCTCACAGTTCTGTGGGCTGGGAAGTCTAAGATCAAGGGACTAGCAGATTCAGTGGTGAGGGTCTGCTTCCTGGTTCATGGATGGCACTTCTAGCTGTGTCCTCACATGGTAGAAAGGGCAAGGAAACTCCCTGGAGCCTCTTGAGTGTTAATTCCATTCATGAAGGCTCCACTCTCATACCCTTACCATCTCCCACAGGTCCACCTCCAAAGACCATTTCACTGGGGCTCAGGTTTCAAGGTATGAATTAGGGGTATGAATTTAATCTATAGTGGCATATGTACAACCAAAGCACCAAGTAGGGTACTTTTAATGAATCACAAGATGCAACCTTTTCCACTCTTCTGTCTTCACCTACATAACTGAAATGAGCTTAAAATGATAGGATCCTTCCCAGCACTTTGGGAGGCCGAGGCGGGTGGATCACAAGGTCGAGAGATCGAGACCATCCTGGTCAACATGGTGAAACCCCGTCTCTACTAAAAATACAAAAAATTAGCTGGGCATGGTGGCGCGTGCCTGTAATCCCAGCTACTCAGGAGGCTGAGGCAGGAGAATTGCCTGAGCCCAGGAGGCGGAGGTTGCGGTGAGCCGAGATTGCGCCATTGCACTCCAGCCTGGGTAACGAGCGAAACTCCATCTAAAAAAAAAAAAAAATGATAGGATCTAATTCACTGGAGTGCTGTGAAATTATCCCTATGGGGAAAAGACAGATGTGGGTGGGGAAAATGCATGGTTAGGAAATGCAAAACACTTTTTATATCAAAGGACATGAATTATTGATTACTAGGACTTTTAATCAAACAAAACATGACATACCTCATGTTTTAAATCTATTGTAAAGTCGGATTTCAGAGATTCACTCTTTAGTCTCTTGGTAAGCCTAGAAAATAGAGACAGTTTGATTTTTTTAACCAAAAGAAATGTCAAACAAGACAAAAACATTCTTTACACTAAATAATGACAGAGAAAGAAAAAGGAAAGGGAAAAATAAATTGTGCTTGAGAAACAGACATGGCCACTTTTTGTTTCTTACTTTAATGAATCTTGCTGGATTTTATGGGGAAAAAGTATGAGGTTTGGGAGAAGAATCACAGTTTTATTTCAAGTCACTGTCTTGTTTAAAATTTTTTCAGTGGCTCTTTTCCCCTATAGAATAAAGCCCGAAACTCCTGAACCAGACTTGAGGGCCACACCATTCCCCTGACCATCTGCAGCTTCATAGCACCCACTTGCTACACCCAGAGCACATGACTCCTCATTGTTCTCTCCCTCCAGACATCTGCCTGGAGTGCCTGAACCCAACCTTTGCTGAGCAAACTTGTCAGCACCAAAGTCATGGGTAACTTCTCTGTAAAACTTTTCCAGACTTGCTCACCAGAGTAAATGGAAACTTCCCTGACCACCAGAGTACAAAGTACAGACCTATCAGCTTTATCACATGCATTAAAATCTGGTGTGCACACAGCTCTCTCTGTGCTATACTTTCTTCTTTGTCTTGCCAGCACTGCCCACTGTATCTTGGTACAATGAGCACTCCGTGAGCTCCCTGAAATGAATTAGGCAATATATTCTTTGATTCAAAGTTAACAAGGGAGGAATACTTACCCAAATCACCAAAATACCATATAGCTCTGTATTTCTTTATAGAGCTGAAGACTAGACCATTAGTTTAAATTAAAAACCTCCTAATACATAGTTTCACTACAAAGAAAAAATAGTGATTTTTAAAAGGAAGAATAGGCTGGGCACATTAGCTCATGTCTATAATCCCAGCACTTTGGGAGGCAAAGGCAGGAGGACTGCCTGAGGCTGGGAGTTAGAGACCACCCTGGGCAACACAGTTTAACATAAAATTTAAAACAATTTTTTAAAAATTTTAAATTAGTTGAGCATGGTGACACGTACTATAGTCCTAGCTACTTGGAAGGCTGAGGTGGGAGGATCACCTGAGCCCAGCAGTTGGAGGCTGCAGTGAACTATGATCATGCTACCATGCTCTAGCCTGAGCAACAGAGACCCTGTCTCAAAAAAAAAAAAAAGAGAGAAAAAAAATGTATAAAGAAAATGAAACAATAGTATTAAGTTTCATTTTTTTTTCTACTGTTTTTAATTACATCTGTTGGTTGGGCCGTGAAAATTTTCTATAAGAATTCACTTCTGATTAGAAGAAGGACAGAAAACAGACACAGATAAATTTGTTTCATTACAAAGAATTTGTCTCACAGCTGATACTAACATACCTTGGTAGAAGGTAGCACCAAAAGAAGCCCCATATAATATCTGTCACATTCCTGTTCAATATTTGTCCACAGATCGGTGAGTATAAGTGGGGTGGACTGAGAGACTGCATCCTCAGATACACTTGCAATATATACTTAGAGAAAAAAAAGTCTGCCCTGGCAAATGAGATCTTGTCCAACTTGAATTCTGCTCAGTTGGAGCAAGTTTTCATAAACAAACTGTATCAAGATAACTTTGGGATTTGGATTCATGCCACATGCCTTCAAAATTTAAACAGACCCCAGAGAGTAAGTATTCATTTTATTCAGGCTCCAAAGACAGAAAAGTCATACCCAGGCTTATTGTCACAAGCAAGGAACACCAAGTTGTGATCAGAATCCAAGAGGTATGTGACCTCCACTGTTAGATAGCCATGTTTCATAGGCCCCTTCATAACAGTCAATAAATACCTTAGTACTATTACCTTAAACATACTCTCCATTTTTTTTTGACTTTTCAAGTTTCTTTCTCATTCAATCCTTGAAAATTATTTTTCGTTGAGCGAAACCTCCGAAGGAGAAAAAGTAAAAACCACTGATAGAATTTCTGAGACAGGGCCAGGTGCAGTGGCTCATACCTGTAATCCTAGCACTTTGGGAGGCCAAGGCAGGTGGATCACCTAAGGTCAGGAGTTCAAGACCAGCCTGGCCAACATGGCAAAACCCCATCTCTACTAAAAATACAAAAATTAGCTGAGCATGGTGGTGCACACCTGTAGTCCCAGCCACTTGAGAGGCTGAGGCAGAAGAATTGCTTGAACCTGGGAAGCAGAGGTTGCAATGAGCCAAGATTTCCCACCACTGCATTCCATCCTGGGTGACAGAGCAAGAATCCATCTCAAAAAAAAGAAAAAGAAAAAGAGAAAAAAAAATTCTGAGACAGAGAAGGACTAATGAGAGGACAAATGAATATGTACCTGACTATCTTTCAGTGGCAATCTCTTGCAGCCCACAGAGTATACCATAACCAAGTCATGTTTACCTCAATATCACAGCCTTCTAGAGGAGTTAGCCTCACATGCCACCTCAGGTCTATGTCAGTCACCCAGTCACCTTGCAAACATGTTCAAGTTCTAAGAGTGTGCAGGATGACCAACTAACTAAAAAGGCAATACCTAGTTGTAGTAACTGGGTTTCATTTTTTTATACACCAAGCAAGGTAACAGCGTTTTTCCAATGTTAGTTTCAGTAACCAACAATACCAAGAAACCAATGAAAGCCAGAAATTCCAGTTACTCAGATGAAACGTTTCCTCATTAAATGTTCAGTTCCTGGGAAATATGACATTTGGTACTTAGCTTTCCTAATATTTAGAAGGTATTAAGTCATGGCCCCAATAGCACAGTTCGAATGACAAAACCACCTAAACTACAGATGTGCAAATGACTGAAGGCCCTCTCAATGCAACACCAGGAAAACTCCTAGCTGACTTTTTCAGTCCCACTTGTGAATCAGTCAACAGAGCAGCCTGCTGAGCGAAATCTAGATAAGGTTTGCTGGTGAAAAAACAATGGTGAAAACCAGTTAACACTGTCCTGTAACAACATATATTTGAAGAAATCATCTTATTGGAAGTTAATGAAAATTTCTCCAAAAATCTAAAAATTAAAACAATAGTTTTAATTGATCAAATGCATGGATTGCCAAGAAATATTAGGCAGTGTGAACCCAAAACTCACATCCAATAAAGTTTTGGTGGGAAATAGCTTAAGAAAGTATGTCTTATGAAATTTAAGGTAACCAGTTGTCCTGGAGACTAAGGCAGAAGAAATATTTAAGTTAACTGTAAGTTGTTGCCCTACCTACAATGTGGGCCATAAAGTCAAGGAAAGGATACAAAGGGAACTGGCATTTCTGGACTGGCACTGTTGGTTGTCTGTACAATACAGAGTTTCCCCTTCATTATTCCTAAACAAATTCTGGTTTTAATTAATTTTGAGCCCAACAATTAAACAGGCTCCAGAGTCAGAGATTGATTACTCTGGGCCAGCCAGAATCATCAATGAAATTCCCTAGCAACTGTTAATAATCTGGGGATTAGAAGTGAAAATTCTAATAATTCTAATAATCAACGAAATTCCTGGCAACTGTTAATAATCTGGGGATTAGAACATACATGCAGTTAGCCCAACCAGACTGAGCATAAGGACTTACCATTCATGGTTGGGAACAGGCTATTTACTATTGGATATAAATAGGAAATATGCAGCCCTTATTGTTTTGAAACCACCAGAGGAACCAGATTTAGGATAAATGGATTCTGTGTACTCTAGGCTTCAGCGTAGGTCCTCAATGATACTGATAAACTGCTGGTTCAACCAACCATAGACCTCACCCCAATTATAGCAATAGTATTTCCTTAATCCACTTTGAGTTGCTTCCTATTACTTGCATCCAAAGCATGCTAAATGATGTAGCTGCTAATAATAGGAAAAAATAGTCAGCACATTAGCTTTGAATTGGAAAAAAAACCAAACAGCTAGGAAGAACCAATGTTGCAGTTGCTGGGGCTAATGGATACTTTATCCTTCCTTTAGTCCTAAGTATAATACCAATTTCTTGAAGAATAAATAAGAATCCCCACTAGAAAGCCATTTTAAGATATATCTTGATCACAAGATAGCAGCTATGCCAGACAGGTTATATCATTTTATTTGCTTGATTACTTGCTGGCATCCGAAGGAAAGGAAATATGATCTAAGATAACTAGAATTTTAAATATGGCACTATGATAGAGTCTGCATATTTATTTTGCTTTGTTTTTGCTGGATATTAATGAACTATTCTACAGTTTGTTGGTCACTGTTCAGCGTTGTGACGAGCAGATGACACACCATGCAGAAGGCTATCTGGTGCCTCACTACTCTCTCATATTGGAGTCACAGGAGAAGTGCTAGGAATTTCCTGAGCTCTGTGAAAAAGATTAACCTCTTGGCCTTAATTCCCGTAGTCAAAGTTCCCCATTGCTATGGTCTGAATGTTTGTGTTCCCTCTCAAATTCATAGGCTGAAGTCCTACCCCTCAAGGTGATGTTATTAGGAGGCAGGGCCTTTGGCAGGTGATGAGGCCTGGGGAGGGAACTCTCATGAATGGGACTGCACCATTATAAAAAAGACCCCTCACCCCTTCTGCCACATGAGGGGCCACAGCAAGAAGGAAAGGAACCAGAAAGCCAGCCCTCATGAGACACTGAATCTGCCAGTGCCTTGATCTTGGACTTCAGTCTCCAGAACTATGAGAAATAAAACTGTTGTTGTTTATAAGCTTCCCGGTTTATGGCATTTTCTTGTAGCAGCCCAAAGAGAGTAAGATACCTACACACCTTGCTGCAGTGATGAGGCCCTCAGTTCTCTCCCCTAAATACTGTTAAACTTGACTAGAAAGAGAGCTATGTGGTCCCTATGGAAGCTGCACTGGCTGCCTTACCTTGTCAACAGATGTGTTCAATGATCTCACAAACACAACAGGGAAGGGATTCATGGACCTGTGTGTGGTCTCCTGTGGGACTACCTTGCAAAATGCCAGATAATCCATAACATAAATTTGCCCCTTAACAAGGCTAACATCTTGGCTAGTGCGCAACCTGCAACCCTGGTTCACAAATCTCCAGAAGCTGGTCATGTGGTGAGCATGGGATAGTAATGAGGTGAGCACTAGCCAGAGCCAACAGAACTGGCCAGTGCTCTGGGTGCTGCTACACTTATGAGCAATGAAGCAGAGGGCAGAGGTTTCCTCAAACAGATTATACTTAATGCCAGCATGTCAGCCAATACGAGTTGAGCTGAACTGCCCTACACAGGGATGCCAGAAGTCAAAATGTATTCAAACAGGATGTCTTCCATCCATCTGCACCTGGTTAAGACAGTCAAAGGAAGCAAGAATAAATAGTTACTTCTAACACCCAATTCAACAAAAACTTAATTGAATTCAGCATCAAGAGGTCTCCAAGAAAGCCTTGCTAGAGGAAGACAGGAAATTGTGATGGGAAGAAGGAAGGTAAAACTCTAGACTATAGGATTTGCCTTCAAGATGAGAGGCCTCCTGGATCAGAAGGCAGTGACGAAGAAAAGAGCTCACCTGGCTTCAGGGAAAGGATTAGGCCCCCTGCTTGCCATATAGCTGTTCCTGGGTCCCCTGGTTTCCTCTTTAGTCCCGAAGGAAGAAACACCTGCTGCACTCACAGCACTTTACAGAGGCGGCTATAGCTGTGTTTGTTCCTCTCTCAAGGGATTTCCACAGCATACGGGAAACGGGAGAGAAACAGGATTATGCAGGAGTTGGGACTTCTCTCACAAAGAAGTCACACCAAATCTTTCCATACTGTAAAGCCAACTGGACACAGAACAAGGAAGGCTAGAGGAAGCCTCCTGTGGTGGAGGATGAGAAGAATACATGAAGAAGGGAGAAGGGACAGGGGCTCAGCCTACTAAGTTCAGGTCACAGCTTCTATTCATTAAGAGTCCAGACTCAACAAAGGTAGCTGAACAGGCCCCAACATCAGGCTGCTGGACACTGTGGGAAAAGAGTGTCCTGGGAGCTCCTGGTCCTCAACCTATAGCAAACCAAAGTGTATTTAATTTGAGAAGAAACATGACCCAAGGCTGCTGAAGGGCAGAACATATTCCCCTCTTCCCTGCAGAGCACAGAACCAGGCAGACTAGTAGAGGGTGAGAAGGCAACGAGCACTACTTTTTCTGGTCTTCACTCCCCTTCCTCCTTGACCCTTCTAAGAATAAAGGGAGGAAAACTGTGCAGATGCTCTTAGGCATGCTTGCTAGGGGCCAGGAGAAGGGCATCCTTGCCTGGCCGTCCCAGGACTGAGTGTGTGAGTCAAGGATCTTAATCGGAAACAAAAACAGTCCGCTGTGGCTAAAGCATAATGTACATTTATTAAAGGATACAGATGGCTCATGGAATTACTGAAAAGTCTGAGTAAACAGACTTTAAGGTGAGATTCCAAGAACCACCTGATTTGTACCACAGAAATGAGCAGCTTGGGAGCTTCAGACTCTGCCATCATCAGGAAGCTGCTGTTAACTTCTCTCCGCAAATGACTCTCCCTCAGCCACGAATCTCAATTCGAATGTTCCCCCCATGCTCTGTCTCCTTCCCCACACAATTCAGTTCCCAAAAATATACAGACAAACATAACACATTTACCTGATGGAACCTACAACATACTGGCTGCTTCCTTCCTAGCAAGGCAGGCTAGGAAACAAAGGGGGTTTTGTTGTTTGGATTCTACACTGGAAAGGAGGGCATCACACTACAGAGAACTTTCAAACGTGAAAGGAGTAGTCAAGAAGTTTTGGCCAGCCATGAATGAAAAGGAATGTACTGTCCTGTATATCTACAAGGGGCTAAAAAGATTTAAAAGACCCCAAATCCTAGAAACAGGACACTTAATGATAGAAAGTCTTTCATCTCTGAAGATATCAAAGCCACAAGTGCTTTATCAGCTTTCCACTCCCTAGAGAACAAAAACATACAATTAATCTAAAGGGCCTGTCAACAATCATATCTCCTGAATTACAATTTAACCGTCTTCACTTTCCACATCTAACAGAGTACCATTGTGATTATACACACAAGTACCTAGGTATACCTTTAGCACCTTCCACTAGATGTCCCTACTGCCTGGGCCGTGTTTAAGTATGCACAGCCATGCACATGACGAGTCATCAACTCTCAACCCCAGCATGGTACTGATTCATTTTCTTGGAGGTGATCAAAGTTACATCCATAGCTAAGTAGATCCCTTAACAATAGTAATGATGCTTTCATGTGCATGGTTCTCACAGCACTTCTGTGTTCTCCCGTAGTCTCACAACTTATTATTTTGTGGATGAGTAAGAAGTACAGAGAGGTTGAATGATTTATCTGAAGGGTCTAGTAAATGACAGCGCAGAAGCAGAAACCCTCAGGCACCTGGCTCCTTTTCCAGGTCTTACCACACACTGCCTCTGGCTGAAAAACTCATTTGAGATCCTGAGATCCATCAGTTACAGTACTCAATGAAATTAAAGTTGAATGCACACCCCTCTTGCTCCCCCCACAAAAAAGTCCAATAAATTCTTACTTGTTTACAAGTGGAATACTTAAGGCCCAGCCTGCAGCAAAGTCTGGATACTTAAAAACTGTAGGATTCTCGGAAAAGGCATAATGGTGAATTATTGTAGATTCTTCATCATGTAATGCTTTTCCTAAAAACCATTCCTGTTAAATAAAGAAACAACAAATTACCTTAAAAACAGTCATTTCATGTAAAACCAATACAAAGTTGTACTAATAGTTTTAGATAATTAAATATTTTGGGTGATAAAGAGTTATTAGCACAGATTAAGTAACTCTAGAGAATGTGAACAAAAATATAATTAACACTAGTATGATAATGAATATAACAAAGCTCTGTATATAAAATGTAGTTCAAGATCTGATTATCAGGATGAACAAAACGTTAGTCATCATTGTACCATAAATGTGTAAAAGTGGTTATTTTATAGAATATTCCACATAAAAAAACTATTAGGGCAAAGAAATAGTATACCCTTACACCTTACTGAGGTTTTCAAACAATAATTCCTTTCAGAATCAGTGATTATTTGAAAAAATTCAAATCATTGAATCAGTGAAAAAAATTCCTTTCAGAATCAGTGATTACTTGTTTATTTATTTATTTGTTCAAAGGATTTTTATTGAGAATCTACCACACACCAGGCAGGAACACAGCTTATCCTATAGTGGAGAAATGGAAATTAAGCAAGTAAATAAAATAACTTCAGGTAGTGACTGAAATGTGCTATGATGAAAATAAATCAGGGTGACTAGGAGCTGCCCTGAAAAGACAGGGAAATCTCTTATGCTATAACAAACTGAGATGAAAATATAAAGGAGCTGGCTCCATGCAAAAATCTGTTAGTCATATAATGATGATAGCATTTTGTTCATCCTCAGTAGCGAACTGAAATGAAATAATATCAAAGAGCCAGCTCTATGCAAAAATCTAAGGAAGAGCCATCAAAGGACTTAATGCAAAGTCCCTAAGTTGGGAGAAAGTTTGATATAGTCAATGAGAAAAGAAATCCAATGTGGCTGGAGCTACTGGGTGTGGGAATAAGGTACAAAAGAGACAGGCAAAAGGCTGACCAGGGTGAGTTTTATGTGCCAGAGGAAAGGAGCACAGACTTTATTCTAAGTGTAATGAAAGGCTTCCACTTCTGACCACAATAGCATAATCTGGATCACATCTACTCTCCTGTTGAGAACAAGTATAAAAGCTGGAGAAATGACATAAAGCAAAGGATGGAAGCCATCAGAAAAAAAACAAAGGCAGATAGGACATAAAAGGCTAAGATCCCAGAATTAGAAAGCCCATCCATGGAAGCCCCATATTGGCCTCCTCTTTTCCTCAAGGAATTTGCCGATTCCTAGAGCTACAAATAGCACACAGCCAAAAGCAGCAGCTGGGAGCTTTTGCAACCTCACCAGACTAAAGAGACAGAAGCCGGAGCTGGAGACATTGAGAGGAGAAATGTAAGGGGGTCCCAAGATGCTGCATGCACATTTTCCTCAATGAACTAAGCTGCACAAAAACCAAAGGAAAAAAATAAGAACCAAGCAGAAAGCAACAGTGGAGAGGCTAAAACGCTGAACAAAGCCTTCGGCAATACTGTAGTGCTGGGAGACCAAAGTCGGGAGTTCTGACTCTGCCAGGACAAAAGGGCTCTGGAGTAAGGGCAGTCTACAGACAGACCTACCCAAACAAGGTCTACAACCCAGAAGATTAAATCCTTCTATATGTAGGAAGTCCTATCATCTACAGCCTTCTTAATTTTTCACATAAAACACCTGAGATTTAGTCAAAAATACCAGGCAGAGAAAGAAACAAGACCAAACCAGAAACAAGAAAAGTGAAAAACAGAAAGAGATGCACAGATGAGACAGATTTCGCAGTTATCAAATAAGACTTTTAAATAGCTATGGTTAACATGTTTTTTAAGCATAAAATTTTTTCTTTTAAATTGCACAAAAGAACTAGAATTTATAAACAAGAGCCAAATGAAAAATCTAAAACTTAATAATGCAAGAACTAAAGTTAGTAATTCAAAAGGATATTAAGCACAATAGCAGAGAAGATTTAACTGGTAAGTTAAATCTTTCCAGATTGAAGTCTGGAAAGCAAGTTGGTAAAAAATAACCAGACTGTTACAAGAAAAAAAAAGGGAGGACAATAGAGAAAAGAGCTTATGGCAATATGAGACACAGGGAAAGGGATGAAATGTACAACACTGGAAACCAAGGATAGACAGAATGGAACTGAAGCAATATTTGAAGAATACAGGCTTAGAATTTTCCAAAACCAACAAAAGTCATCAAGTTCTAGACTCAGGAAGCTCTATACACTCCAGTGAGGGCAAATACAAAGAAAATCACACACAGGCACATAATGGTAACACTGTTTGAAGAAAAAAATGAACCCATCTTAAGTCTTAGGTTTTTAATATGAGCAAGTGGATACACAGTAATGCCATTTCTGGATGAGGAAGTCTGAAGATGGAAGAGGTTTAGAAAGGCATTGAGAGTTCAGTTTTGAACATTTTGAGTTTTAGGTTCCTATTAGATAAGCAAAGGTATGAAGCAGGCAGCTTGACATAAGAGTAGAAAGCACATGGCTGACTCCCTCAGTTCCTCTGCTCTGTTCACACGTGACCTGGTAAGTGAGGTATTCATTGAATACCCTATTATAGACAGGTAAGCCCATTCCCAATACATCCCTTACTCCCTTATTCTGCTTTATTCTTCTCCATGGCACTTGTTTATACATTTATTTGCATTTTTCTTTATTGCTATTTTTCCCCTGAAACAAGAACACCACCTCCTTATAGGCAGGGATGTTGTCCAGTTTGTTCACTGCTGTATCTTCAATACACCTAACATGTAATAGATGCTCAATAACTTCTTGTCAAATGAATATAGCAAGTCCAGGAGAGATTTAAAAAGCAACTCTCCTCTACTGAAGAAACTAGAGCATACAATATGAATCAAGTACCCTGCGTTCTAAAAGATTTACATATTTTTCTCTCTAATCCAACCAAGACCACCTTACTCTCTGTTTAACAGAATATAAAATCAAGAAGATACCGTACATGAGCACTCTCAGGTATTTCTTAAGAGCCTTATTCTGCTTATGGTTGCATTGCAAATGCCTCCCAGAGTTCTAGTTTTCCTCAATTCACCAAAGGTCATAACTGAACATACGTGACAGCTATTAATTTTTAAATCTAACACTAAAACTATATAGAGTCACAGATCCATATGACTTTCTTCTTGATACTTTGCCTATGGATATATGAAGTCACTACTGGGTAAGAGTAATACCCTGTAATGGCCAAGACGAATGACCTCAGCTTGAGATGAAAATTCAACCTTTTTTTAAAAATCAATAATAAAGCTCTTTATCAAGTGGTTTATCAAGCAACTAAACCTTAACCCACAGGAAAATCACCATATTTTACATACCATGCCAATATAGCTTGTATAAAGAAAATAAACATCCAGTACATTTTGGAAACTTTCTTACAAATCTTTCACTATTAAAACCTTTCCCTATTAAAACCTCTGGTTCCAAATAGTTTTATGCAAAACACGTTATGGTTTATCTCCTAATTGCAGTGTTCAACTGTAGAGTATATGATTGTTTTTCAACATTTTTGTGTGGGTTATAAACTACTTTAAAAAATTACTATAGAATCCACAGAAAGAGCCACTCCCCTAATCTTTCTTAATGACTTTCTTAATGATTTCATTAAAAGAACAATTATAATCAAAAAGAACCTTAAAATAATAACTCAGTGTTCCACTAGTATCTTAGAATTACTTTTTACAAGCACCTATGTTTTATCTCTATTAAAAATACATTTAGGCCAGGTGTGGTGGCTCCCACCTGTAATCAATCCCAGCACTTTGGGAGGCCAAGGCAGGTGGATCACTTGAGGCCAGGAGTTCAATACCAGACTGGCCAACATGACAAAACCCCATCTCTATTAAAAATACAAAAATTAGTCAGGTGTGGTAGTGCATGACTGTAGTCCCAGCTACTTGGGAGGCTGAGGCATGAGAATCACTTGAACCCAGGAGGCAGAAGTTGCAGTGAGCCAAGATTGCACCATTGCACTCTAGCCTGGGTGACAGAGTGAGACTCTGTCTCAAAAAATAAAATAAATTTAAAGTCAACATTCTTCATCAAATACACATATATTAAAAGCATACTGTGGTTACAAAGCAATGACTTCAAACAACATAAAAAAATTTATATAAATCACTGAGGAAGATAATTTAACAAAGATTAATACAAGTTAAAGTTTTACATTTAAAATATTTTATGACAGTATACCTTTTTGTATTAGTAAGAATGACTGAAAGATGAAGGAAAAAAATCAGAATCAAACAAAATGCCTTATACCCTAATACATTACATAATTATTTTAAGGTACACAAAGCTTATTTGTATAAATATCAAAGCCAGGTTTGCTTTATACTTTTTTCCTAAGTTTCAAATGGTGGGGAGGAAAAAAACATCACAGTGGTTTCAGCCAACTTCAACATTATATAATCTTTATCATTTCTTACTGCTAGTTTCAAAAGAAATAAAGCATAGATTTTTTTTTTCATATGGCAGAGTTCAGAAAAGAGGGAGAAAACGTCTCCTTTTGCCTCTGTTCTGTACTTGCTTTTCATGAACTTGCTTTGAACTTTTCAATTTGTCATCCCAATTTTCATTAAAAAGCAAAGTGAGTCACCATCTCCCGTACAGAATTAGAGCTATGGATAATGGAAAAATAATCTCCAGGTGAAATGAACACTAGGAGGAGGTTAAAACTCCTACATTCTAAGAAAGACTTGGGAGTTTTTCTCAAGCCAAAAGGAAACATAAAAGCCTAACAAATGGTTTACATAAAACATGGCAAAAAGTACACAGATGCTGGTTAGTATCATCTGAAAAGACTGGATGAGACAGGTTCGTAATTCTTTTCTTTGAAGGAATTATTTTTTTAACCCAATGACCTTCTCATCCAATTATATCTAAAGCTTCCCAGAAATCAAAAAGCATGAAGAAAAACCATAATGAATCTTTCCAGTATTTAAAGATTATCAAAGGCAGTGGTTTCTATCAGTAACAGACTTTCCAGTGTTTGGAGAAAATAATCTAATGATCACTGTTGCCCAGTGTTTGACATCTACATCAACAAACCAAGCAGCACCCAGAAGCTTGCCTTTTATTCCCCATGAGCTCATTACATCTGATTCATCTCAGGAGTGAGCATCTGAAGGTAGGTGGGACAGGTTTCCACTGGGACCCGAAAGGGTCCAACTCTGCTTATCTCAAGTTTAAAGAATTCCAAAAAGTGATCAGGTTGTAACCTGGGCTTCTTTCCTCTGAAAGAGATCTGAATGAGCTCCATTTACTCTTGACGCTTTTCCAAGGCAGCTCTCTAAACCTAAAGAGCCTTTGAACACAGCCCAGCAGCAAAACTGATTATTACAGTGTTATAAAGTCATTGACAAACATTCACTGAACACCTACTAAGTGTTAAACACTCTGCTCAGGGCTAGGGATTTCAAGGCAAACAAGATCCAGTTGCTAATCTGCGCAAAATAAAAATAAGATTTGAAAATGTAAAAGCAGTGGTGGACTTCACTGAGTTCCTCTGGTTTAAGATACATCCCTTCTTACCCCTATTCTTTCTCAAATAGTGTTCCTTCTGCCTGCAGACCTGTTTTCTCTCTTGCTAACTCCTACTCATCCTACAGAACTCGGATTAAATGTCACTTCCTGTCCTTACCCTCCTAGGTTAGATTCAATGCCCCTGTTACATGTCTCTAACAGCACCCTCGTCGTCTTTATTAGAGATGTTTTGCTTCTAACCATAACTGCTTCTCTAAGGGTCTGTTCTAGAACCCTGCTATTTTGTGCCACCCACGTGGTCAGAATTGTCATCTGTTTTGTTCTAGCCTCTGCCATCCACAGTGCTCAGTATACAGCTGGCACTCAAAATAATTTTTCTATCTAAAATATGGTCATATCTGATAAGAAGAAATAGCCAACTTAAGTTTACTGCTATGATAATCAGTTTTTGAACTTCAAGTCATAATTTTCAACTCTGAAATTGCCAACACATATATTAACAGATTTTTTTTTCATTTAAAATGGCTCGTTATAAGCTATGTCCCTCTAAAAGTTACAAACTTCAAAGAAAATTATTTAACGTACCTTCCAGACATTCAACAATGTTTCATTCTTTTTCATTTTAAACTCAGTGGTTTTTTATTAGATTCAAAAACCTCTTAATCAAAATTAAATCTCCTTTGAAACACTGTCCCCCAAAAATAAGAACTGGTATTGAAATTATATTCACCTTAGAGGAGTCGTATCTTCTGAGAGTTTCCAAGAGTTTTGGAACCCGTATTCTTGTCTCTTCTTCAAAGAAGAAAATCCATGATGCATTTCTGCTATATGTTACCGAAAAGCTGACAAAAAGAAACAAGTTTCAGTAATCACTTCCGTAAAATGAGTTAATAATAAGGTTTAAAACTGATCAGTAGGAAATGAATGCAGGGTACACACAATGGCATATCTAGTTTCTTTCCTCTATATTTTTCTTCAGTTTATAGAAAAGCCAGATGCTAATGGTTTATAAAACAGCCAGAGTTCTTAAAGTTAATTATCTCCGTAACAACATTAGTTCAGGGGATAAATAATTTTCAAATATCAACTTGAAGCATTTTCTCTTCTAAGAAAAAGCATATATAAAAACAAAATCTATTCATGATTAAGAACCAATTATCAATAAGTTTGATTAAGGTAGTAATCATAAAAAGTAAAACTCAAATTTACTTCACTTACTGACTGAGGAAAACCATACTCTCTTAACAAAAAGACTACGGGCATAAAAGTGTTCAGGTGGGAATGTCAGTCATTCACACATTGTGAGTTAAACGTACTGCGGTAATAATGGAAGTATGGTCCATGCACCTTCTTGCTTAGCTAGCTGATGAAGGAGGAGGACACTGGGGAGCTCCTGAAAAAACAAGGATCAAAGAAGATAAATATGAATTGACTACTCCAAAAAAAGTTTAAAAAGAGAAGAAAAGGTTTGGCTTAAAATGCAGCTGTTTCTAGAGCCCTGACATGGTACTCTTCACACCACTTCTTTTTCCTCATTTTCTCCAGGAGCTACTGGAAATGAAGTATTTTGGCTGAATCCATGCAACCTCTGCACCACCCACGCACTCAAATAGGGCTCAAGACCTACAAGGAGGGTTTTTCCTGACTCAGAGCCAACCTGAAATCTGTAAAGGTGACTTGAAGGGAAGAGCCCAGGGGAAGCAGTGAGGGATAACTCAGAGGCACAGAAGCAGTTTTTTATTTTATATACAACATACGGAACATGTTAAAAGGAAAACCTTTTGGCTAAACTACAGGATACAATATCTGATCTACCTCATGTGCAAAAATTACTTTTTAAAGTTCTCTAAACACATTGAAACACTCTGATAACAAAAAGTTTTGGTCTAGAAATATAATCCTTAAATTACTCAGGCCATAATAGAATAGCATAATAATGGAATTGATAAATTTATAAGCATAGGAGGCACTAAAACTCAGAAATAAGGCACAACTGTGCTTACATAAATTATATACACATATATAAAGAGAGATTTTTAAGGCTACGAGTGTTAGCTTTGAAACAAAACACTATTTGCTATATTTCAAGTTGTTACAAAAGCCAAAAGTCAAAAATTTCATATCTGATATGCTTAAACCTCCTCCCCCAACAAACTTTATTATATCCTGTGTTTTATACTAGCTATAAAACTATATTCCTAGTAGCCATTACAGACAAAAAATTTAAGAATAAGTGCCTAAATATCTGAAATATTACTGGACTGATGTGTGTTCCACAGCAGTCTTAAAATTCATAGACATTTATTATGAAGAACACAACAGTCTTTAATATAAATCTTTGGAATTAAATTTCAAGTAAACCTCATTTATTTATTTTATATAGTATTCAACTTCCATGTACAAATATAAAATGCAAAAAACAGTAATCAAAGGTTAAATCAGACAAACAATGTGGTATGTTAGAAAGACAGACTACACCTTAAGATGGAATTAGCAGTTACGCAATATAAATAATTCAGGGCCTTCCTACCATTGCTTCTGAATTATGCAGTAATTTTCATTGTCTTTTTAAAATTCCAGCAAATATATATATTCACGAAGGATTACATAAGAGCAAAAAATCATGTGTAAAGAAACTAATAATGTTACTATTTGCATAAAACTTTAGACTTATGGGTAAATGCAAATGCGACCTAGACAAGAAAAGAAATATATCAAATACTTTTAAAAGTTTTACATAAAAGAAAGCAGTAATCAGTTATTATGCATCAACTGAAATTACGATGAAAGCTTTTATAACAATGGAAATGTCTTTATGTTTAATAGAAAAAAACAGACATGATTCTAAGAATAAAACAAAATCCTAGATGAACAGACTAGAGGAACCAGAAAGTGAAAATATTTGTGTCAAGATGATAGAATAATGAGATATATGCTTTAAAAATCCTTCAATGTAAATAAAACATAGCTAAGTTTTTTAAAAATTGAAGGAAAATGAATGTACCTCAAAAATTTACTTCCAAACAAGTATTATACTTCCTAATTATAGGATATATATATATATATATATATATATATATAAAGTAATATCAACAGCTATTAACTGAGAAAAGGTTTCCTTTGATGCCTAAACAGTAACCTCAGCAGAAAGGCTACAAGGGCACTTTCCTGGCAGAGATTAGAAGACAAAGCTTATGAATAACTCTGCCACAACAATAAAAATGTGGCAGGCAAAGGTGTAGGTAATGCAAACAAGGAATCACATCCTAGACTGAAATAAACTTTATGGATTATCAGTAGATTAAAGTCATTCATAGCTCCATTACATTTGCTTACTAAATCATATACTAGATTTCATATTTGCTTCAGTTTGTGAACCCAAGATCAAACAAATTTCCTGTCCCTCTATATCTCCAAATAACAACATTTCAACAGCTAGCATGCCTTGTTAATAACACTCTCCAAAGGTGAGTACTCAAAAATACAAAGTGGGTGCTACCTTGGCACTCAGAAACCTGCTCTTGATTAACTCTTGAGTAAGCCAAGGTCATCTTAATTATAAATAAATTTTAATCTACTAATCCCCAAAAATGCCCGAGAGATTTTATTCTTGTCATATACATACATACACACACACACACACACATATATATATATATGCACGAATGCACACAGAGACCCAAACAGACATAATAATACACTTAGATATAGTAGCACCTTAAAGGTAATTTTCAAAAGATTGCAATAAAATTTTTTATCAAATGATCTTATCTCAGTTCCTACCACTTAGGATTATAATAATTTATGTCCCATCTGTCACAAGATTTAGACCTCCTTAAAGGTAGTGTCACTAAATGCTACCATTTCAGATTCAAAGCAAGTTTTTATTTTTATTTTTGGAGACAGAGTTTTGTTCTTGTCACCCAGGCTGGAGTGCAATGGCGCTGCAACCTCCACCTTCTGGGTTCAAACGATTCTCCTGCCTCAGCTTCCTGAGTAGCTGGGATTACAAGCATGCACCACCACACCTGGCTAATTTTTGTATTATTAGTACAGATGGGGTTTCACCATGTTGGCCAGGCTGGTCTCAAACATCTGACCTCAGGTGATCCACCTGCCTCAGCTCCCAAAGTACTGGGATTACAGGCATGAGCCTGTAATTATGGATTACACCATGCCCAGACTCAAAGCAAGTTTTTAAATAAGTAACTGGATGAATAACTAAAAAATAGTTTTCAAATTAAAATTCAAGGGGAAAATAAGAAAATATTATATCAAGATTACCAAGAGCTGTCTGGAATAAAGACATAGTAAAGGCATTCATGCATGCAGCAACTGTCGTCAATCTAAATGATGCCTAATCATGCTACTATTTCAAACCTAAAAGGTAATTCAAAATTCTCTTGATAATGAGATAATGCCGCATCAGGGGCAAGCATAAAGGAGCTAAATATACAAATGATCAAATATGGATAAATGACAGAAAAGGGCAAGAAAACAAAAAGGTTGACTGCAGTAATTTAAACTTTTGTGTCAATTCTAGTCATCTCTTTGAATCAAAGCCTGACTTTATCAGCATCCACTGGTATCGCAATCACTTTGAAGACAGAAAGCCTACTGAACTTTCAGTTGGTACTTCCTTGGAACATATTTGTTATCAAGGCATGAATTCATATTTAAAGCAGTTAATAATTTTTGAGAGCAAACAAATTTAAAACCAACATTCTAATTCATTAGTTGGTTCTTATACATATTCATCTTCCTCATTTGGGAAAGGGATTTGATTCCAGTATCACAGCTGAGTATTCTCACAGTAGTTTGAGAATGGAGAAGGGCCATTATTCTTAACATGGAGGGGAAATCATTAAAAACTTATATATAGAAATATTAATAGTATGAATGAAAAAGCTAATCTTTGAATGTGGATTAAAATAGATGAATATTTAAAATATCACAAATAACCTTAATTATTCAGCAGATTTGGTTTTGAACCATTTTAGTTTTTCTGCCTGAGAGGAAATAATTCAACAATTAAACTACATGCTGCTGGTCTTTCCCTTGTCAACAGACTATTTGCCAGTATTTGTCATTTGTCCTTATCTTCTAAAACTAGAAGTACGTGAGTTTATGATCTCATTCAGTCTCATTATTCAGACCACATGCTAAATTAGAAAGTAAGAGCCAGCACACTGGTTCCGTATTAGGAAAAGGTTCTAAAAAAACTGAAACTTTAAGACTGTTTCCATTTCAACTGTATGTCTAAATTCCAACTACTATATCATTCTGAGGCACTGAACTGAGCTTTTAGAACAACACATAAATTATGGTGAAAATTAACATCTGTTTATTGTTACAATTTCTTCTGTAAGAGGTAGGCAGGTCTTATGAGGATAACAGAGATGTGTAATATGCCATTTGCAACATATATCAGACAGATTTATTAGCCTTTAGAAATCCAGTAGTCATTTATGGACCCCAGCAGATTATATGTGATGTTATAACAACATACCTTCCAGGAATCTGAGGCTATACTACAAAAAAAGAGAAGATTCCTTTGGATACCTGTCTTAATCATTAAACAGCCTTTCCTAAGAAGATAAAATATTACCTAATTATTTAGAAATTTTTATTTTTATGAACAATTTACTTTGAAATGCATCACTAAGTCAATTTTTATAGCTCATATAAATCTATTTTAACTAATAACTTGATCACGCACAAAAGGCTGTAAGGCTCAGTATTTAAGGACCTGAGTTTTGGAGCCAAAGTACTTGCCTCTGAATCCTGGCTCTATTTCTTCTGAGCCATGCAACCTGAGCAAGTTTCTTTTCCTAGTTGTGGCTCTGTCACCTTGTTCTCTCATGTGAGATGACAATAGCAATGGGGAGGAAGTGAGTTAACACATGCCAGGCACTTGGCATGTGGTAAGCATGTGACAACTATTAACATTATCATCAATTTTGCAATATTTTTTTGAGCAACTACTATGCACCAGATACTGTTCTAGGAACACAATAAACAAGCTGTGATAAGACAAGCAGAGTCCCTACCCTCTCAGATCTTATGTTCTCATTAGGGAGACAGGCAATAAGCAAGTAAATCTACAATATAATGTCAGGGATAGAGGCCATAAGGACAGAGCCACGTAAAGGAATAGACTGAACAGGACACTGTTTACCAACCAACACTGGTCTGCTACACAAGGTATCATGGCCCCACCTGTACGTCAGGAGGCAGCAAGGCAGAGAGAATAGGCTTTGGAGTCCCTCAGAACTGAGGTACAGGACTAGCTCCACTATTTGATTAATCTCGCTAAGCCTCAGTTTCCTCTCTGCAAAAAGAAAGTAACAGCAACGAATTCATAGAGTTAAATGAGCTGATGCTTCAAAACAG